TTATCATTGTCTTGAGGAGTTATGGTCCAAGTTTGGATTTAACTCCTTTATAGCCTCTTAAACCTACTCAGTTCAACATAGGATGCTCCTGACATGCAGTCTGCTACTGGCCTGTACATATGTGCAGGTTTCTCTGAGGTCTTAATTTCCAACTGATCCTTTTTAAAGGGTTCTAACATATTTGTTTACTTCAAAAACTAAATTCAACAACCACTGAGGATAAAAGTAAAGACGCTTTGCATGTTTTAAAGTCTAAAAACTCAAATTAACAATTATTCCATTACTATTAGAAGACAATTTGGGATGGAAATATACCTAGAATGTTCCAACCCAAGTATGAGTTCAAGTATTGACAGGCTAGTACTTGGCTATAGCAAGTCCAATCCATTTTCTGCCACGCTTATCCCTGCTGGGGGCGCAAGGGGTGCAGGTAAACCCTGGCAGGTAAACCCTGGACAGGTCGCCAGTCTATCACAGGACAACAGGGACAAACATTCATGCACACAATCACACTTAAGGAGAATTTAAAGAAGCCAGTTAACCTAACAGTCATGGTTTTGGGGATGAAGACAGAGTACCCGGAGAAAACCGAGTCAAAGGGAGAACATGCAAACTCCATGAAGAAAGACCCTGGGCCAGGAATACAACCCAGAACCTTCTTGCTGCAAGGCAGCAGTGCTACCCACTGATATACTGTGGAGCCCTAGCAAGTACCAATCAAATACAAAACAAGAACTTTGTTAAAATGAGAAGTTGGATCATTTTCTCGGGTATGTTAAGCAGAAAAAAATGGACTGCTTTCTACTTTGAATTCGGTACAGTTGAGATGTAATTTTTTGTTTTTTATAGGTTTATTTCAACTCCTCTTGAGAGAGAAAAAATCTCTGAACATAATAATGGGGTAATCTGCAATGACCTTACTTTGAACTAGAAAGTTGGAAAGTTAATTGTATCTGCAATATAATTACAATTTAACAAAACTCAACTTTCCCATCACAGAGGAACTCAGTTTTGATCACACTACATTTAAGAGCAGTAAGACTCTCCCTTCTGACCTTTAAGTGGCAGTAATACATTAAAGGTGGGTTTTCCTTCACACAAAAGGAAAGAGAGTTTCAGTCAGCAATCAGATCCATGTATGCAAGTAAAAGTGAGCATTTTACACAAAATAGTAACAGTCCTGTGACAATGTAGTCTGGAAAACACGTCTTCAGGGTCGAGTAAATCATCTTCATGCTTGTGGCCAGAGCAAAAGAAAATTAAAATCATTATCACATATATAATATAAATGTTTATTTTTTGCAAAACATTCAGCCCCATTTTCAACTGGGCTTTCGAGAATTTTCCAAGCAGCGGAGCTCTGCTTACGGACAAGTCTGGGAATCCATCACAGGGGAACTCCTTGCTTTTTCTGTCACTTTTGTTCACTTAAAACGTCTGGCAGCTAAAAGTCCCTCTGTCATAGGTGTAGATGCTGCTACCACTACTTATTCCTGCTACAATTACCAATACAACTGCTCCTTCTTCTGGTTTGCCCTCATTTTATGTTGGATTGTATATACGCACTTAATAACACAGTTCAGTCTTTGTTCTTTGAATCATCGACCACAAATTTGCTAGCAAATTCAAGGGATCAACCAGTGGTGACCTTTAGCAATAAAAAAAAATGTTAGACTCTTAAACAACTTCTCATACAGATACAGCTTGTTCCATCTAAGTTTAATCTATGAAAAAAATACCAGAAAATACAATGTTTGCATCAGCAAAAGATGCAAGCTGACAATGGCATAAAGAATTAGGTACTATGCAAAGCCTTTATTTTAACTTTTAAGAGTCAAATCTAAAGGACAAACTTCAAAAAGAAAACTTTCGTAAATGTCCAGACTCTTCTTCACCAGGACCCTTTAAGAGAAAATATCATGTATGCAAAGAAATGATGGATTAACAAAGCCTAAACACCTAATGACTAATTATGATGCATGCGTACTGATATTAAGGAGCACGCTGGAACAATCAAAGACACCAGTCAATTATATGGATGCTTTACAAGGTAAATACCCAATTTAAGACAGAGGCACCATTCCTTGAAGTTGCTCAAATCCTAATCCAGAACAGTTGAGACGAATTGTCTGCCTCAGCGAGCATTAGCTCAGAAACCCTAACAGAAAATGTGTCAGCTGACTAGAAGCTGGTGCTGACTCTAAAGAGTCAAGAAGCAGCACTAAGGGCAGATCTAGCTTGTGAATCTAATTTAAAGAATGCCAAACGTGTCCTGGTTTCTTTCCAATCAATGCAATGTAGCAGATGTCTGTGCAGCAGAGTGGCCAAACCCACAAAATTAACTTGCATGGATGCGAAGATGTACTGGGATTTCTGCTGAGCCGTGTGGAAAAAGCACGGCGCTGCACGAACCCTAGACAACCAGAAACTGCTTCTTCTCTACAGTCAAAGACACAGCAGGCGGTGCAAAGCACAATGAGGTCACTGTAAAGTCAACACGCTGCCTTCACAGGAATGTTTGATTACATTTTAACCAGATATCTTACCAGATACACAGTACTTTGCCAAGGCCTGCAGTCTGTTGAGATTTTATATCTACAATCTTTTATACATTTTAATGTGAGTTGACATCATAGAGAGACACATAAAAGGGAAGATCAGAAAAGGTGAAAGATGGGTGGCTTTAAAGGTTTTTAATTACAATTATTATCATTATTTAATTGCCCTTTGAGACTAATGCATTTTTTTTTCGTTGTCTTTTTTATGTTAGGGTGGAAGAAAAAAGTAACATTGGTCTAAAAAAAGGAATAATCATAATAACGGACAGCACATATCAGGGATCAGTAAAACTGATGCCAAAATAATCGTTATTGGCATCGGTCACAAAACAAAATCATTGGTTGATTTCTAGTGGGATCTGTTCCATTAAACTTAGGGAAACTTTTTCATTTCAAATACGATACCAATATTGACCTGACACGATATAAGCATGAAGCCTGCATAACTTTAAAACTCATTCGTAACCTGGAATGTCAGAAAAAAGGCTTAAACAAGTGACACCACTCAAACGGAGAATCATCAAAAATAATTGGTATGAGAACAACTGAATCATGATTTGATTTACTAACTAAGGGGTTAGATAAACTTTCAACAGAAGTGTTTCTATCAGCTTTTTTTATATTGGAATTTTTATATTTAGGCAGATATTATCTAAAATTTGTTTTTGGCTTATCTAAGACCCATTTCAGATATTTACAGGATCAGATCATCCCTACATTAGACATAATTAAAAAAATCAGCATCATGAAAACCCAGGGAAACAATGCCATGAGCTTGTAAAATGCCATGGAGCACTATAAACCACTGGAACACAGAAATTTTAAGGAAAAATTGCAGAAATAGAAAACATGACAGTCTGCATACAGTATTTAGACAGGCAAGACAAAGAGGGAATTGACCAGAGAGGCAGTTAGGAGGCTCAAGGTAACTCTGCTGAAATCCACGGTTTACTAAGAAAATCTGTCATGCTCTCTACAAATAGAAGAGAGGAAAGAACCCAACAAAGATGCTGACATGAGGCCAAAAACTTAATGTTTTGCCTTCATAAAACAAACTATTGTAAAGCTTCTCAGGGGTGGCAGTATCATGATATGGGAATAGTTTTGTTCAGAAGTGACAGGGAAGCTGGTTAGTTTTCTTTTAGTTTTTTTTTCACCTAGAAGCAGGACAAATGGTCTAACACTGGATCTTTAACAGAATGGATTGGAGTAAAGCAGTAAATAATAATTTAACTTTATTGATCGCAGATTGGAGATTTTTCCTCTGCATTCAACCCATCCCCTTGAGCAGCGCAGTGGGCTGCCATCATGCAGTGCAGTGTGGGGTTAATGGTCTTTGCTCAGGGACATAGAGCGGCCGTCTGAGGGAGTGGGGATCAAACTCATAACCTCAGGATTCCAAGCTCTATGCCCTGACCACTAGGCCACCAATCTGCAAATGTGTTAACATTGTGATCATGTAAACATAGGGAGACTCACACACACACACAAAAAAATCAGCAGTATAGATCTGGCATCGGTATGACTTTTGTTAAACTAATCGATAGACTTTTATAAAAAAAAAACTGTATCAATCTATAGTCCAGAACAATTAAATTATGACAAAATGTTAAAGTTGCTTTTTACAGACTCATCCATTGTTAGTTTGAAGAATGGAGAACAATGCCAGTTTCTAGATGTGCAAAGCAGGTACAGACATGCCTCAAAACACTTAGAGCTGTTGTCACAGTAAAAGCTGCAACATAATGACTCAGGACTAACTACTAATGCATGTCACATAATTCAGATTTTCCTTTTTTTCTGAAAAAAAAAAAAAAACAACTATATACTTTATCACTGCCTTTTCATAATCATCCGCATAAAACAGCCCATAATGTAACCTGCATTGCACTTGCAATGTATAGGTAAATTCATATCTTATTTTTTAAACACACACTGCATACTTATGAGTATTTTCAACCCCCAAAAAATGTAATTAAACATGTTTCCTTTTTGTATTTGATTTCAGGATTACATTAACACAATCCCAGGGTCTAATTTGTGTTGTTAGGGTCAAACAGAAGACAGCTATGCAGTGAGAAAGTGAAGAGTTCATTCATTCATTCATTCATTCATTCATGCTTTCAGCTGCACAGTTAAACTCACTCAGCCAAGTGGAGATCTGGGAGGTAGCCGGTAAAATAAAATAAATAATCACACCACCCACGCCTCCTGCTAAAACCTCACCGTTCCAGACTAAAAGTCCACACTAAGTGCATGTCCATCACCCAGCATGGGGCTGTGCGTGTAGAAAATGAACACAAAGGCAATGTTGTGCTCCTAGTCCACTACAGTAAGCACTAACCCTCTGATTATCAGGGAAATTAGCCTCTTAGATCAAAGCGCACCGCCGCGCCTGCTGAATCCGCACCAACGGCTGGAAAAATAGTAAAAAATACTCACCACTTGGTCTGTCAGCAAATGTAAATCCCGAAATTATTTTGTGGGAATTTTCCGTCAGTGTGTCACACCGTCTCATATATCCACCAAACTCTGTCTCTCCCTGTCGGCTCAGACTTGCTCCGCTCCGCCGCCCTCCTGGCTGCTCCTTTTTAACCAGAGAACTTGACGAGCCCAGGCTATTGTTAGCGGAGCCTGCTGCAAAGAAAGGCCCGCCTTCGGTGACGTGATTCCAAGAATATAATTGGTCATCCGGGGGTCTACCACGCTTTTCTTTGGCTGAGAGAAACGTCATTTTAAAAATCGAGGCGGGTCCAAATTTGCCGGTAAAGATTCAGCGATGGTACGTTCAAAGACAATGACGATATCTCCAAAATGTTGCGTTGCGTTCAGGTGCAACCTTTTACCTTACCTGTGGATCTTGAAATAATTTAGAATTTATAAATATCTTTGACTTTAATTAGCTACAAAATGGTTTTTTTCCTTAAAAAAAATCACAAGAGAAAGTACATTTAAATTTATAAAAGCTTAATTTATATCAGTTCTCAATTCACTAAGCAAGCCAAAACATAGAGTACAGAGACTGTTTTATTCATAATGATGCTGAGTTATCGCTCATACAGCTTAAGAAAGTGTAACAATTTATATTACACGGTTATACATAAAGAACAGACATTTTAATATAGGAATTAGGATTGTTGATAAGTAGCCTACTAGTAACTCTTTCTAAAATGTTGTTTTTAAAAGGTACATTTGATTTTATTATTGGGCCTCATTGGAGCGCTATTCTAATTTGAATATGTCACAGTTTAGACATTTCTTACCACAAATTGTTATTTGTAATTATACCGTGTACCTGAAATGCTGAATTTATGTTTCGTAGTAACATAATAGACTTTTAAGAATTTTAGACTTTTGAAGGAAAATGTAAATTAGAACTTACACTTACAATAGACAAAGAAAATATTAAAACCCAGGGTGGAGAAGCAGTGCCAATCATTGCTGCAAACGTTGACGCGATGTAGATTGAGACGTGATGAGACAGTGACATCTAGTGGTGAGAGAGTTAGATGTCCACAAAATGGCATGGGCCAAACAAATGGTACACAATTTCTTAGATTATTTTTGTGGATAAAAACAAAATGAAAAATATAAATGTACAGAATGTTAGTTAATTGATTTTGTAAACCAATAGACTCAATTCTCAATGAATAAGTATTTCATATGCAAGTAGGACTTTAAGAAATCAAAATTACTTGTTCATATTCAAAGTTTCTGTTCTTTTTTATATGGATTAACTTGCTCTGGTCGTTTGCGTGTGTTAAATCAAAATGCTCTAAAATATAGAGGGAAATTCTATAAAATAAGCATGTGCACCTATCAGCAGTTAATGTCTTAAGTAAAATGTGTTGCTATTTGGAAAAGGCATCTGAAAAAAAGTACAATAAACAGACTCTAACTTAGTATATTACAAGATTTTAATAACTGAGTGCCAATTTATGAAAATTTCAACTATCTTTTAATCCCTTTGATTAATTATTGATTTTTCAAAATGTACAAATGCTGTTCAGGATACAATCACAAAGAATACGGCTTAGTGGTTGTTTAAGAAAAGAATAATTTAGTTTTATGTTTTAATCAATTTGGCAAAATCCTTATCTCATTTTTGTATCAACACCTTAAAAAGGGTCAAATTCTGAAATTCTTTCAACATCTGAGCTGACTAAGATTAACCTTTATATCATATAAATTAAAGCAGTAATGGTTTTATAGTAAATGGGCTTTCAAGATGCCTTCCAATGTCATTGAAGCTCAAAAGAATCACAGCTACTGTCTGTGGTAAATATCTGCACAGCAGTAAATAACATTTTGGTATTCTGCCCCAATAACATGGAACTATTTACAAAAAGACTGGAAATTAAAGGAACTGGTTCCAACAGACCAGATTAAACTCCTGCTCAAAGGTTTGGAAAATAAATCCATGGTTTATAAATGTTTTTAAAATGGTTCAGCTGTCTGTAATGTACTAAACTGATGTGATCTGTCCTGCTGTCTTAACCAGGACTCCATGGAACAAGAGATTAGTCATCTCACTGTGATTTTTTTCTGGTTAAATAGAATAGAACAGAATAGAATAGAATAGAAAATCCCTTTATTGTCCGACAATGGGGAAATTCTGGTATTTACAGCTGCAAAAAGGTTGCAGAAAAAATGGCCACACAAATCTGGACCTTAGAAAGGTGTATAAGAATAACATAATAGTGAAGAGCTAAAAAAAATAAACAAATAAAATACTGTACTGTAAATTGTTTTAACAATAGAAAACTGTGAACCTGGAGAATAAATAACCAATATCTATGGACATTTTTACAGTAATGGCTATTTGAAAATACCAACAATATCTGAGATGTTCAAAATGACAGACTGTGCAAAAATCAGCTTGAATGTAACAACTTATTGAGGTTGTTGGGAACAGTGGTGGTTAGAGAGTCTTATGGAGGAACTAGGATCTGTGATAACAAAAACTGAAGGAGCTCTCCAGTTCCTTAAATTAATGTTTAATTAGAAAAGGCCCTGCCTAGCAAGTTTTCTAAATTTGTGAGACCTTTTAATTAAACACTAACCCTGTTTACAACACGTGTGTTTAAGGTTGTTTATTTTGAGTAATTAGAGGGAAAAGTTCCTTTTTATAAACAGGAATTGCTGAATAATCGACTTATCTCCCGCAGAAATAAATGGATCCATTTGCATAGAATGAAGAATCAGTCTGGTTTTATTAACATATGATAGAGAGAGGACAGTGAAGGGAAATCTCTGCAGCTGATGCAGGAGAGGAGGAGAAAAACATTGAGGCTCAGTTACTTCCGCACCATGTGAGCAGCACCGGGATAGGAGCGTTATTTGGTCCCGGATGGACCCTGCATCCTCTGGGGTAGAGGAGCGCTAACCTGCCTCCATACAAACATCCACCGGCCAGATCCGAGGCTGAAAACCCGCTCAGCCCCGCCCAGAGACCGGAGCCATGACTGGGGACGTGGCCGTATCTCTGTCTGTGCTTGCGGTGGTCGTCCTGCTGAGCGATGTGACCCGCAGGATGTTGGTGCGGGCCCTGGCGGACCCCGGGCTCTCCTCCTACGCCGTGGAGCTGGTGTCTACCTTCCAGCTCTGCTGCTGCACGCACGAGCTCAAGCTGCTCTCTGAGGTCGGCGGCATCCCGCCTCAGCTCGCGCTCACCTTGACGTATGTGACGTCTGTGGCTCACGGGCTCACCTTCAGAGGAGCCGTGGGAAACCCCTGCGGTGCGCTAGAGCAGGCGTACCGCGCAAGGTTCTCCGCCGGGTGCGCGTTAGGACGGATCGCGTGCCAGTTCGCCGCGGCTGTGGCTGCGCGCGTGGCCGTGCCGGTGATCTGGGGTATGGGACTGTCGGGACTGCACAGCCGGCATAAGCTGCTCGGGTTCCCGTGTGTCAGCGCGATCCACGCCTCTCTGCCTGAAGCTGCTGCCGTGGAGCTGGTGTGCGCCTTCGCTGTTCAGACCGTCATCACGCACACACAGTCTGTGGAGGAGAGATACCGCGTGCACGCAGTGGCTGCTGCCATAACAACAGCGGTTTATGCGGGTAGGCCGAGTTGCTTTCTTTTTTTATTGCCTCAATGTAATTAATATAAACTATGGCCTCATTTGAGCTGAATTAAACCCATACCTCAAGATTACACAGACGATGAGACAGGGGGCCACCAGGGGCCAGTGCCCCCATAGCTGCTGTTATAATTATCGCTCCTTAACTGAAAATACACTGCAAAATGTACGTTTTTTTTTCTCAAAATAAATGTATATTTTCTTTGATATGAGCCGGTACACTCTTCTCCAACAGACTAAGATAATTTATGTTTAAAATAAAAAAGAAATCCCATTCGCTTTTTTCACATTCATAATATCTAACTATCTTATTTTAATATTTATCTTTTTTGACAGATCACCATAATTAACTCCTCTATTTAAATGAAAATACACTTATTTTAGGATGTTTTAACCTGTTTTAGATCATTTGTAATTTTTTAATGAATTTTTCACAATGACAGAAGAGACTGAAACCGATTTGTCCCTTACAGCAAATGAAAATTTGCCTTTACAATTTACATCAACAATTATTTAAACGTTGCAGATTTATGCCTCAATAGTGCTACAATAGGATCATAGTTTGCATCTGTTAGATCAGCAACCTGTAACCTTGGCTTTTTAGGCTCACTTAATGTACTAAATGATGCGCCCTTGTTCTATTTGCTTGTTTTCTTTGGGTTTTTCTGGCTTTGACCTTTATCAGATGTAGATTACTGCCATATTCTAAATTAGTATTTTTCTAAAGCCAAGGGAAGAGACTTTTCCAACATTTTTTTGTTTTGTGTCTGACTCAATTCAAGCTAAAATACAGAGCATTATTAACAGAGGGAAGAAACTAATACTGGCCTAAGGGAATAAACTAGAAAGAACAGAAAACTTAAAGGTATAGTGGAGGATTTTTGCGAATTTTGGAAAAGACCTCTCTACTTTAAAAAAAAGGACAAAACCCTGTACCCACTCCCGAGAGGGAACGTCTATTAAACGCATGCATGAGCTCATTTCTCCTCATGCAAACTTTAACAGTTGCTGTTTGCATCACTCATAAAAGCTCATTTTCCAAAAGAAGATTTGCTATTTTGCCACTATATCAGACTCACCACCAGTAAATGAAAATGGGGACGAGGACATAGGATGGCATTGCGTAAACAATCCCAAGAATGATTGACAATTAGGAGAACCACTTATTTAGATGATCCACCTGGAAAAAAAACATCCTCCACTATACCTTTAAGAAACTACCTGAACGAGCTAATATGGACCATTCTGGGAAAAGAAATTAACTCAAAGGCAGGAACTTAAACAGCAGAGATGCACAAAAATGAAAACCAAAATGAAAAAAGTAGAGGATCATAATATTTTTGTTTTATCTTTATGTGTAATTTTGTACTTCCTTTTGCTGCTGATGCAGCTGATTTCTCCACTGAAGGGCAATAAATATAATATTTTTTCTACTGCTGGTTGATGTCTGGTCTCTACAGCGCTGAAAATGAAAACTTGCAGCAATTATGGAAACCTGTGTTGAATTCACTGATGGGG